AATAACAACAAACACAAAATAACAGTATTGGCTATGGGCCAAATTATTATTTTAAACATCAGTATCTGCTCAGAATTTCACAACCCCTGCATCCCCAGAGGAACCCAGTCCTGTAGTTCCTCCTGCAGAGCGACATAATGAGATGTCAGGAGTTCACAGCCTCTCTCAAGGACACTTGCAGCAGGAACTGAACCTGACAGCTTCCTGTTCCTTGTAAAACCAACTCACACCTTTCTCCTGCTCTTACACCCAGCTGATCCTTAATACAGCCTCCCTTTTAAATTTCATCCCTCCTGCCTTTCTTCCACATCTAATTGGCCATTAAATTATTAAAATATCTAAAACGCTCAATGATGGCCGAGTGACCACGCAGAAGAAACTCTATCTCCCTCTCCCCGAGGAAGGCAGCTCCCATCGGTGAGAGGATCTAACACTGCTCCTGGCAACCGACCGTTAAATTGGTCATCTGCCTTTTTTTCCCTCCTTCCTGCAGCGGTGGCGGCCCGACAGAGACTGGAGTCAGGTGGTAGAGAAGAAAGTTAGCTGCTGTGTGTTATAATGGCAGGGGTCTCCTGGGAGTCAGAGGCAGCCAGGCTGCGTTGTTTTTCTGAGTGCTTTAAAATCCAAGCCTGGGGCCTGTCTGACCACAGGAGAGAGGGGATGGATAGTGTCTGTTTGTTTTGATTAGACGACTGAAGAGCCACTGCAGCTCGGGCTGAAGGACTGAGCCAAGAGAGAGCCAGCATGAAGGTACTGCATGCATGTGTGTGCACGTGTGTGTGTGTGTGTGTGCTGGCCTCTCTTCATTCAGAATTTACACAAGATTCCTCTCAGTGTCCTCCATGACTGATGGCACTCTTGTCTCTGTAAAGCCAAAAGATGGATGGATGGAAGCTACTTTTGAGTGCAGGACGTAGAGCAATGAGCCCGTCTCAGCATTCATTCAAACTGCTGTCACTCACACAGAGAGGAAAAATAACAGAGTGTCTATTTGCACCGCGGTGAGAACAGTCACACCGCAGCTACTCAGCTATTCACACCCATCCCTACAATGTGTTATTATGGGTCCCACTGTGTGCTGTGGTTGGCTGGGACTCGTTACGTTGACGCACAAAATTTACTTCTTATCTATACACAGTGAGCGACACAGCTGCTCTTTGGCGTCCAATATTTCAGTTATACAGTTGAGAAAATATAGAACCAGAGGAAAGGACTGTCTTACGGCAAGGTGACGTGGTGAAAATATTCTCACTATGGCATCTGAGTAGGCTGATAATGATATTTTTTCTTCGCTAAGCGTTTTTTTCAAGTGGCTAAAATACGTTTTGCTGCTAACTCTAATCCACAGCAATGCACAGCTGAGCTTCTGTGGCTGTACCCCTGTCTGCTTCTCCAAATGGGGAGCAAGCCAACTGATATCTACTGTATGTAACACACTGACTACAGATCGACCGATATGGTTTTTTCAGAGCCGATGCCGATACTGATTATTATGAAACAGAGAGACCGATAGCTGATATTTACAACCGATATATGTCAACTGTAAAAATCATAGTCACACACACATAAATTCAGAGACTGTAATGGTAAGGACTAAACAGTAGCAGGCTATTATAACAGCACTCAAAAACGGTAACTGAGGAAACGCTATCATGAGTAAGGAAACACCAGAGGCAGGATAAAACTCAGAAGAAAGAACGGAATTTTAAATCTTCAATAAATGGGAAAATAAATAAGTTAAATAAATCTGGCATAATAGATAAATAAGTAACAAAGTTGAAGAATATGCCAGCTAAATAAAAATAAATAAATCAATACACAATAATCATAAATACAAAATTTAAAAAATAAAATGAAAAACAATAAATAATAATAATAAAATAAAATAAAATAAAGGAGAGCTCAATTAAAAGCCAGGCTAAAAAGGTAGGTCTTGAGTTTGCTTTTCAGAGCCTTGAGTGGTACCTGCAGGCAGTGAGAAACACGCCAAGGGCAAAACAACACAGCTAAGGAAAACAAAACTGTATATCGGTTGGAAAAATCACCAATACCGATAACCATAAAAATTCATAATATCGCCCCTGATAATTCATAATATCGCCCCTGATAATCCACCAGGCTTATTTTATGTCAACCCCTAACACCTTATACAACCCCACTGAAAAAAAAAAAAACTGAATTATCCCTTTAAGTTTAAGTGACGTGTGTAAGACTCAGCGAGATTTGGTGGCATCTGGCAGTGAATTGTACATTGCAACCAGCTGAAACTTCTCCCGGTCATAATTCCATCAGTGTTCATTGCTCACAAGGTTTTTACCAAGAGCTGAGTTACCCACAGACATCTCCTCCTCTCCAAAACAAATAGACCAGGTGATTAAAACTGGTAAAACACTGACTATAGCAGCTTCATGTTACAAATAAGTGAATCTCTGATGCTCTCTGGCATCCAGGGATGGGTGGTCGCCCACCACATGCTTATGTGTGCTCACCGTTTTTCTCTGGCAACCTAATGTGTGCTCAACTTCTTGTGATCCAAATGTTCAGGAGGTTTTTCCCGTGAGCAGAATCATCCACAGAGGTCTCTTCATCTCCAGGACAAACAGAACTGGGGATTCAGTCCAGTAAAAACACTGAATAAAGCAGTTTCACGTTACAAATCAGCGTTTCGCTGATGCTGTTTGGCATGTCGGTGCAGGCGGGCCCATCCACTGCCTGCTAATGTGAGCTCAGCTTTTTTTCTCTGATAACTTCAGATCCAGACATTCAAAGAGGTCTCTTCTTCTCCAAAACAAACGGACCTAGTGATTTAAACTGGTAAAAACACTGAGTAAGGCAGCTCCATGTTACAGACCAGTGAAATTCTGATGCTGCTAGTTGCAGATGGGCTTCTAACTATGGTGGCCGACACGAAAAAGCAAATGTCCCTATGTAGAGCCACTGTTTGCTTTGTCTGGTCTGGGCTACTGAAAGAACATGGCGGTGCAACATGATCTCCAAAAACTAGGACCCGCTCCCTATGTAGATATAAATGGCTCATTCTAAGTTAGCAAACAAAATAAGAATCATACTGTTTTCATTACCTCTGCGGATAATTTGGCGACTAATAAAAACCCCCTGAACGTCTAGATCTTAAGTTCTGCACACATTGGCAGGTGCTGGGCTAAGGGCCTGGCTCCAACATGCTGAAAAGCATTGGAGAAACACTGATTTGTAACTTGAAACTGCTTTATTCATTGTTTTTACCGGTTTTAATCACTTGGTCTGTTTTATTTTTGGAGAGGAGGATACTAGGGTTGGGTCGGTTCTCAGTACTACCAATTCGGTTCGGTACTCCATCTTGGACTGTTTTTTTTTTTTTTTTTTTTTTTGAGACCGACTGGACCGCATACTCGGGCGGAACGTACGCGGAGCGGACGCCACGGAGATCCGCCTGGTAAAAGTGGACGTCTGCAAGTCCTGTGCGTGCAAAGCACGACCGCGTGGACTCCGCTCTGCGCACCAGTGTCACACAAAAACTGTTCGGCATGTACTATTTTTTACATCGTGGGGATTTTTCACAGACATTTTTACACGGAGTCCGCTCCACTTATAGTACACCCAAGTCTGTGAGCACCTGTGTCTGCCTCTACAGCAAGCGCACAGCAAGCAGGAGAGAGAGGGGGTTGGGGGTAGGGCAGGGACTGAGCTAGGAGGTGCCAGTGTGCATGCGCCGAGGCCACAACTGTAGCCTGGAGTTTGTTTATAGTGACGGGGAGTTGATAATGGCGGACAATTTAGTCTCGACGAAATCAAAGAATGTGCCACTCTGGCAACACTTTGGCTTTGAGCCAGATGAAAGAGGCAACCCTTGTTTGCACTGATTGAGTAAGCTGCAAAATTTATTTGTAAGGAATAAAAGAAACAACGTGTTACTGTCACTCTGTTGTCCTAGGGTCACTTTTTATTTTAAATGAGTCAATTGCGCCCCCAAGTGGTGAAAATCTGGTATTACTGACTTGATGCGTTTTTTTTTTTTTGTTTGTTTTTTTTTTGTTTTTTTTTTACAAAAAACGGACCTTTTTTTTTTTCTCATACCGACCCAACCCTAGAGGAGACCTCTGGGGATAATTGAGCTCCCAATTAAAACCTCCTGAACAATGAACACTGAAGGAATTCTCACCAGGAGAAGTTTTAGCTAGTTGAAATCTGCAATCCTCACCTAGACTCCACTAAATTTATATGGTTTAAATTCATATGGTTCCAAACAGCGGTCTGCTGGGGAAAAGTCCTGTGTTTTTTGCCCCATCCACCACTCCAACATGCCTCCGTGCACAGACTACTTCCTTCTTACTTCCATCAGAGCATTGGTCACATGAGCTCAGCCTTATATACAAATACGAATTATGTATATATACATATATGTATATACATATATATATGAATTCTGGTGCATTACTTTTCATAGGAAAACATAATTACGGTGCATGAGAACAGCCTGCACACATACAATATCTATTAGTGGTGGGAATCATCAGAGCATCTGCTCACTATGTAGATATAAACGGCTCATTTTAGCGTAACGAAAACCAAACAATTCTTTTTTTCAGGTGATTATACACTAAAGAAAATATACTTATTATATTTTATTCCACATCTGCCAATACACCCCCCTAAATCCTACACACTAGACCTTTTAGATGGTCTGGATCCCATGTGACTCAAAGTTGGTTTGTTACTTTTTTAATTAGTTGACCTATAGACCTGTTCGTGCTGACGTCATATTTTTACATTGCTAGGACACCCATGAAAATACACACACCTGGGTGTAAAGAGCCACAATGACCATTTACACCAAGGATGCAAACAGTATTGATGGCTATGTACACCTGGGTGCTAATAGCACCTGCCAAGAAAAAAAAAAAACCTGTGTTGCCACATCGCAGCATAAACTCAATCAAAAATCTGGACTACCACAAAGAGGAATGACCACACTCACAAGTGTGACTTGACTAAATCCTTACCTTCATATGTTCCGCTCTCTAGCAGGGCTCCACTTTTCTCCAATTCCATAAACCGGTCAACGGTCACGAAATTATAATCCACCCCCGGGACCTCTCCTTCCTTGGGCTGCCTGGTTGTGCCTGCAGGAGATAAGAGAGGAGAGTTAGAGGCGCTGGAGCTTTGAACGCCTCATCACTGCTGAATGAGAGGAGACTTTAAGTCAGAGTGAGTCGCTGTTGAGTGTTTTAGAAAAGATCAGAACACGCCGGGGCTGAAACACGCTGACCCTGACCCGGCTCCATTCATTAAGTGCCCTCTTTATTCCTTTTTGTCCTTTTTACTTCTTGCACGGCTGAGGCTGAATATTTGAGCGGCGTGCTTTCAAAGGGAGGGAAGAGGCAAGGTAGCTAAGTGATGCAATTTAGACGCCAAGAGGAGAAATCAAGTCAATTTGCATGGAGCTGACAGCACGTCGAGGACTCCCTGACAGGAGCTGCGGCTCTGCCAACCGACTGTAACACCGAGTGACGACAATATTTTACCCTGTAGTAGCAGAATTTCAAGTCAACTTCACTGACACCGCGAGCATCTCTCCCCCAGTTACTAAAACAATGTGTGTCAAAGTATTTATGATGTTAAACCGAGGTACAAACGACTTCCTAAATACTTCCTCATCACCGTGTGCTAATTAGACTTGTTAAATCTGATCCCGGCTGTGATAACACGCAGGCACTCTACCCCTGAGGTGCCGAATGGGTTTTCACATCTGAGCGAGGGTTGTTCACACTAAAAGAGGAGCCCGTAAAACACACTTGTTAGACCCTCACTACAGCATATAAAGTATCCATCTGTGTGTTTTAAAGTTAGCAGGGGAGTGACTGTGCCACTGATCACCCCCGCTAGGTGGTGAGGGGGGTGATTTGACTTTAAAAGGCCAACTGACATCGTTCCTGCATCGCTACACAAGGCTGGAACAATGCCTGCGCTGTGCGGTGATTGGACCAGGGAGAGCCAGGAGGATGCAGGAGTTTCTACCACTCACTGATTACTAACCTTTAAGGTGCACAAAGGGAAGTAATCAGAGGAATGAGCTGCTCCTGAGACGACGGTATGGGAGAAACACCTCAGTCGCCAGAAGAAAACGATGTAAGCAAACCGCAGATATGTTACATTTGTAAGCTGACTTTGTCATCAGGAAGAGGAGGACACCTAAGCGAGACAGCTGCCAAGACCACAACAGCAATATTTCCAGCCATGATTATGCAAATGAAACCAGGTATTTTAAGCCCAAACATGATCTTTCCCCAACAATAACCAAGTGTACCTCTGTATCCACTACCCATCTGAAAGACACCTGGTCCACTGAGCTGAATCTGGAGGTGTCTGATGACATTTGGCTTAACTAGAACTACCTCTTGCTCAATTAACGTCACAACGGTACAGACTGATTCAATACAGTCACTCACAGACTCCACTATTCAATTTAACAAAATGTATCCGGCTGTTTCTCCGCTATGTGACAGATGAGGGCTCTTTGACACACCTTGTTTGGCTCTGTCCTCATCTACGCAATTATCGGTGAAAAATATTTCAGTGGTCCTCTAGACGTTCCCCGTGATCAAGAACTGGCACTCTTTGGATGGAAGGTAAATTGAAAAACAGTCTCTCCTTGGAAAGAATAGTCTGCATTGAGTTCAAGAGAGAGACTAAACACGTAAGAGAAATAAAAAAAAGAAGTAGCCACTGGCTTCCATGCTGCTTTCTACTGTTCACTATTCTGTTTTTCGGTGACAATCAATCAATCAATCAATTTTATTTATAAAGCCCAATATCACAAATCACAATTTGTATGCTTTACAGCATACGTCATCCCTCTGTCCTTAGGACCCTTGCAGTGGATAAGGAAAAACTCCCCCCAAAAAAACCCTTTAACGGGGGACAAAAACGGTAGAAATACACCAGAAAATACACAAAAACAAAAAACACAGAAAGGCATACTTGTCTCCTGAGCAATATACACAGCTCTAGTCTACTGGCCATGAAAAAAACACTCTATTACCTATTTCTATTGAGTTTTCCCACAAGGAGCAGTGAAAGGAGCCAGTTTCTGATGAGCTGGACATGATATTTTGATGATCGCCTCCGCCCAGTCCTTTCGTCTTATCACATTTAACCATAGTTGCCTTTTTTTTTTGTTGACGGGCAGTGGCGGCTGGTATGTGATACATAAGTTTTGAACCATGACTCCTGTTGTAGCACCAAATAACACATCATGACAACATTCTAAGACTCCTGTGTAGCCTACAGCCCTGTGGTGGAGAGTCCTGTTTTGCCTCCAGCTAACAAACTGACGTCATTGTGACGTCGGCCCTAAATTGGACCATAGCTACTTCAGAACACACAGTTCTTAAAGAAGGCATAGCTCTGTCCCAAAGGGGTATATTAGGCAAATTAGTGGGTTGAATGTAGCAACGTCATCATGCAGAAACCTACGTCAGGTCACGTGGAAAACAGTTTTAGAACTACTTGGGAAAAATAGCATTGTGACAATAAAAACTTTGGCCAAAATTCAAATGCTGTAAAAACTACAAAATAAACCCCCAAAAAATGGAACTGGCCTTGAAGGTAAAAGTGTTTCTTGCTGATATGAACAGCCACGCTACCATAAAAGAGATGGATAATAAGTCGTCTGCATGCTTTTGGACACTTCTCTCTTTTTCTCTGGTGTGCCGACCTTTGAACAATGCTGTCACTGTCACATTGCTTTTTATTAAAACGTAACCATCCCAGCATCAAACAGAAGCAAAGAACCATCTAGGTGGAAGGATGTCTGAAGAAAACTGAAACCATATTATTGGCCCTGACTTGTGATTATAGACTTCTGAAGAAGCTTTTTTTTTCATGAGAAGAAGCAAAACCTCTTCAATCAAGACTTCAGTCCAGAGATACAGCTTCAACTTTCTCCAGACGGCATCAAACAATGTGACGAATGAAAAACGATTCTAAATGAGGCCATTAAGCTGCTCGCCAAGCCTTTCCAAGGTTGCCTTGTTAATATGCTGATTAATTGGTGCTTAAATGCAGAAACTAAAGTCGCAAAAGGCTTTACAATCAGCTCGTCTGATGGAGACTGCTGCAGTTGATGGCAGTTTTTTTTTATTTATAAAAGATTCAGTGTGTGTCACTCTTTTTCTCAAACATGACGATCATATGGAATAAAGCAGCGCCCTGTTTGCACTTTCTCAGACCTCAGAACGGAAATTTACTGACAACGACCTTCAAAGCTAAAACATCAAACTGGAACCTGCTGACTGAGTAATTTCTAAGGGCTTATAAGAGCAAATGAGCAGCAGGGAATGCTGTTATTTGCCAGAGAGAAATGTATGTGTGAGTGGGTATATGAGCGTGTGTGTTTGTGTCGCACCTCCAGTGGAGAGTTTCTTGATTGTGTCTGTCGGCATGGGGGCTTGTGTACCCGTCAGATTAGCCTCCCTCACAGGCAGAGTGTCTGACTGAGCGCCATGCACACACATATTTCAAAGAGGACCTTTGATGTCGCAGAACTATATTTAGCAGCATCTTCTGGAGGGGACTTCTCTCGGGTGACAATTTCTAAAAGGAGGCAACCACAATGCCTCTGGATTTTCACTCCTTTGTATATAGGTCATGATCCTGTGGTGCAAATCAGCCAGTCTCAGAATAAAGCCACCTCTGTGAAGTGCAGAGATAATGATGTGGGATATTTTTAGACAGCTATATAATTATTATTTACAATGACTTGATTACAGCAAAATGGGAAACTCATTAAGGTTAAATACTGCATCCGTCTTTCTGTCAGCCTACAGGAGCTTGGATTCTCAAATCCCCTCAGGTGTGTTTCTGGATTTGGGCCATTTGAGGAGTGTGGGAAGCTCATTCTAAAAATAGATATTGTTTTTTTTTCACAGACATCCTTCCTATCTGTCAGGCTCCTGTTTAGCTGCGAGACAGAATGAGATGGAGAGATGAAGGGAGACATATTTCAAAGATAAACTGGATCTTACTCAGAATTAAAAAGGATTTACAATTGTGCATGACGAAGTTATAGTGTAGCACTAAAGCCAATGCACACGGAGCTAATGGGCCCCAAAAAAGAGCTATAGTGCAGCCCAGTCACCAGAAGAAAATGTCAGCATTGTACATCCGTTTGCACTTTCATATGTATTGTACCAACATTTCTAAAGTGAGTATATGACTTTTGGGAGGTGGACGAGACAGTGGATGGTGTGACACTGAGGCGAGATACCTGCCAGGCTGCAGAACACTCTTGGAGACCAGCAAACAGCAAAACAGGTTGTTTTTCAGCGAACCATTGCTGTGTTTTGTCAGTGGATTTTTAGCCATCAAATGTGGGTGTTACTTAGTGACCCGTCACTTTGTATCCTGCCAAAAATGCCACAAAAAGTGGTTGGTTTTTACAGAGACACTGCTGTATCTCCTGTTGGGACAGTGCCAAGAAAGTGGTTGTTTTTACCAAGACATCACTGTGTTTCCTGCCTAGATAGTGCCCATGAAAAGGTTTTTTTTTTAAACCAAAGGATTGCTGTGTTTCCAGCTGTGACAGTACCACAGAAGCGGCTGATTTTTTACCAACACATCGCTGCATTTTCTGCCAGGATTGTGCCAGGAAAAGTGGCCATTTTTTTTACAGAGAGGTGAAGATTTTCAGTCATCCAGGTCACGGTCATCATAAGTGCTAAATGCTACCTGGAGCTCGCATCAACGGAGCCTGGGTTTGTTGAGGGTGGCAGTGCTGTTTGGGCTGAGAAAGCCTGTGAGTTTATCTTCTCTATCTCCTTTAACTTTAGCTTATATTGGAGTTATGATATGTAGCATGTGAAATAGAGTATGGTGAATGTGCTAGGAAAGGTAGTATCGGCACGGTCACTACCTGGAGCTCGCATCAAGGGAGCCTGGGTTTTGTTGAAGGTGGCAGTGCTGTTTGGGCTGAGAAAGCCATGCATAAATAAGGTAAAGGAGGTTGTTGGGTCGGTGTGGGGAGCAGTGAGACCTGGCATTAGGGGAGTGTCTCTGGGACGCCAGAGATCACTGTCTAGCCTCCTGGAGGTGTCGTGGGACCAACTAGACGAAACACTGGTGT